TTTTGGCAATTATAAAATGTGTGTTAATGTACTTAAATACAAATTGATTATTGAAAATGACAACAAAATTTTCAATATAATACTAAACATTGATAATATAAAGGAAAACAAAAAAGAAAAAAAAAATGGGCCCAGCATCCATTTCACCAATCTATATATATATAATAAGAATTAACATTTACCATAAATAGTAGTAAGGAAAAGTCAACCACATTTATTATATACTATTTTCAGCAACTTTTATATTTTACATTTTAATTTTAATTAATTATCAAAAAATTGGATGGTTCCTAAATTAATGGGGTTTAAATGCACGTATCATGTTTCAAAAATTATAAATCATTTAAAATGGAGGGTTCATAAATTAATGGTTACAAACTTTTCAAAGTTGTAATCTTTATGACATCTTTTCTTTTTGACTTTTAATAATAAAATTATTTTAAATATATATATTCTAATCCAAAAATTCAATCATATTAAATATATATATATATATATATTGAACGCTAAAAATATTTTTTAAATTGCATACCCAATCAATTAATTTTAATTTTTTTAAAATTACTATGTTTATTTTTTATTAATATGCATAAAATAAAAATAAATAGTTCATCTTTGGATATATAATTTATAATCTTAATATACTATCATTTGTTGTAGACATATGAATCATAAAATATTTTTATTTCATAAAATTAAATATTATATTGAAAGAAAATAAGGAAATTACTTTGGATCAATCGGGTGATTGAATTAGGGTACTGCCCACTTTGATTGAATTACTTTTAGATGATATTTAAAATAGTCAAAAAACTTGACATAACTTGGTTAGTCCGAGGTAATTAAGTTATGTATCAGTTTGACCAGATCAAATTGATTATTGAACCTAAATATAAATTTTAATATTGAAAATACTTTATTACGTGAATGTGATGTAGTCCAAACTTCAAATAGTCATATTAACAATACTTTTATGACAACATGATTAATGATTTATGAATATTTATACATCATTTTATTATTATTTATGTGAACAAAATATTTATTTCATTATCATTTTTATTAATGTACGGTAAATATAAGGTTTTCAGAATCGGACCGTCTTGTGGTTGTTCAGATTTTAACATAATACTTTAATATATATATATATATATATTACTTTTTGTAATAAATTTAAATAAAAAGTGTTACTTAAGTATCTAAACAATTTATAAATTCAAATGTTTATACTAATTGATAAACAATTTATAAATCTATGTTTTATTTAAATATGTAATTTTATTTAAAATAATTTTTCATGTAACAAAATTTGTTTAGAAAATTGTATCGATCTTACCAGTCCAACATACTGGTATTGGCGGATTCGATAGCAAATATTTTATTCAAGCGCACTAAATCGGTTATAAACCGGTTCTCGGTCCATCCGGTCGGACTGTGTCCAACCCGATTTAATTTATAAATAATAGGTAAATCATGATTAATGTTATTTATTTATTTAATTTATAATACAATCAAAATATTATTTTCCCGTGCATCGCACGGGCCACGTACTAGTTGTAATGGAAAAAGAAAAATATCATTTTGAAGGAAAAAGAAATTGGTCCATCAAAACAAAACCGTTAATGTGAAACGCTGCTATATGTGGCGTTTCAAATTTAGCTTTTTTTTACAAAAAGCTGAATGGAAAAGCTATTTAACCAAACATACATATTAACATAATTTTAGTGTTTTTGGCTCGGTCAAACCGCTAAAATAGTGATTTTGCCAAAAAGCCAAAAAACAAACATGGCTTTTCTTCGAGAAGAAATGAACATCAAATAATGCCCGGATTTATAATATAAATAATAAACATTAAATTATTTTCAAACTATCTTTCGGATAAATTATTCATCAAAAGAAAAAAATGTACCAAAGCTTGTTATTTTACCCTAAAAAGTTTGATTTAATGTACATTCACTTTACGTAGCCCACTTCACCATAATGTAGATATTAATATCATATGTCATATTAATAACTAGGATGTAGTCCGTGCAGGATGTAGTCCGTGCAATGCACGGAAGAATAATTATAAATATAATGTATTAAAGCAATGAATAAATATTGATTAGTATAAAAAATGTTTCAAAAATTAATATTATAATTTTTTTCTTTTATTTTATGATATAAAATAATTAAATATATGAGTTATATGTATTTAAATAGATTATAAAATAGTTGTCATTTCAGAGTTCTTGTTTATAATTAAGGACAGTAGAAATTTAACATATTCAAATAATGTCAACAAATAATGCGCACAGAGTAATTCTCTCTTTATCTTCCTTTACTCATACCTTACTATGTTATATTATTCGATTTCTAAATAAGATATGCCGAAAATTTCAAATATTATAAGCAACACTTAATTGAAAAGACCGTATTATATATTATTTTGAAGTTAATATTATAAATATTTTAAATTTTCTTTTTGATCTATTAATTTATATGAGATTTGTTATGATATTGTGAATTACAATATGATTTTCTTAAAAATCGATTCAGTGTAGTTATTGATAAAACCAAAGGTATTTTTGACTCCTTGAATAGATATAATTTGATTTCTATTTTGTATAAATATTAATTTATTTTTATTATATTCCTTTTGATAGTAAGTCAGCTTATTTAATAACAAAATCAAAGTTACTATGTTAGATTATTCCATCAACCTCTTTCAATATATATGGATTTTAAAAATTCATACTTTTCAAATTATACTATTTAGACGTTGTCATTTTATTTATTTACAAAATGTATGTCATAATCATCATAATTATCCTTATCAAATCAACAATTAGTGAATCGACAAATAAGAACATAACATTTTTTATAGAAGTCCTATGGAGCACAGAAATTATAGGAAACGTTTCAACACACAATTTGTGAACCACAAGTTCTTATGTGAGGCAATCTAACCTTTAGGTGGTCGATCCATTATATTATTTAAATAAAATTGCATATTTATATTATCCCATTACATACTTTTTTATGTTGTTTCTTATAATGACATCTCCCAATCGTTTGTGAATGATTATGAATAATTCTGTCTATAGTGAATTAATCTCATATCTAAATTACATGTTTTGAATATATATAGTATTTCAACTTAATTTAAGAAGTCATTAAAATAGCAAGGTGGAAAACTAACATAATAATATGCAATCATAATTTTAAAATCGATGCGCCATATTGATCGCATTTTAAAATCGGTTTGTTATGTCTATTTTCATCAAAATTGGTGTTATAGTTTATTAATTTCATCAATTTTTGTCGACTAATCCAGGCAATTTTGATCACCTACTCACACTGCATAATAAAAATTGAAAGTCGCCTATGTGACAACAAAAATCTTATTTTTTCTAGCTTCTACATTTGTCACAAGAGCAAGGGCAATGTTACAAGAGCAATGTTACCAAAGTATCATCATAACATTTTTAATTATCACTTTTTTCTCTCCCCCAATTTTTCCAATTCCCTCGTCTTCATCAGCAAAACTGGTAGAGAATAGGGTTACTCACGGTTGACGGCAAGTTTTTCCTTTCTGTAACAAATTAGCCGGTAATTGACGCACCTGCTGCTCCTCTCCTCCAGCAAGTCCACCTCCACTACTCCTCTCCTCCGAAAAATCGATCTCCGCCGTCGGCACTACAGCTCAACTTCGGCTTTCCGACTCGAGCAGGTCGATCCTCAAGGTGCGTATCTCAAGCTGCGGTTTTTATGTAATTGCTTGTTCGAGCTGTATTTAGGTA